TCTAAACTCCTTTCTAATAAGTCTCACTATAAAATTTGGTGCTGTATATATACATCTAATGAAAAAAAAAATTAGTGTTGAAATTTTTTTTTTTCCTAGTTGGTACACACACACACTTGTCTCCTTTGAGACTTGAACCTCTTTTGAGAGGTAAGAAATTGATACTGCTAAGCCACTGGTCCGTTGATAAATAAGTGTTCAATTTTTAGTTTAGCGGGAGTCCTATTCTATGGTTTAAGCAATTAAGTGTTGGGTTTTTTTTTTTTAATTACTATTATTAATTTTTCCACTAGGCATCAACATTTCCTTCTTCTTTTATTATATTTTTTCTGACAATATAAAACATTCTACCATAGTTTTTGAATTTCATCTCTGACTCTTATTCTCTCTTTTGGGGTAACTTAGTCCTCATGCAGCTTCTGAAACTGGCCTCACTTTCCCTTCACCGATGAATGCTCCACAGTATTCGCAGGCAAGAAAATCGCTACCCATGCGTCCACCCACTGGGGTACTGCAACCTTCCCTTGTAACAACAGTATAATTCATGACTCTTAATTTTGTATGCATAATAAAGTTAATTTGCTACCATATAGCTAGGTGCTTAATTAATATTTTCAACATTAATTTTGCATTTGCTGTGCTAAGAATGGATATCTAAAATGAATTCTAGTGCTTGAATAACTGATTTTTACTAATAATTCTCAGAATGCTAGTGTTTGGTCACTTCCCCATGAAGTGGACAACAATTTGAACAGCCAAAATCAGCTGAATGTACCTCCACAAACTGCCTTCCGCGCTGAATATCCGTTAAGTATCACTATTGTTTTCTGTTCTATAAAAACATATTCAGTTCTTTGTTGTTCTTTTTTCTTCTCTCAATCTCATGTAATTTGCATGGCTAATGACAGTGATTTTAACCTTTTACTCTCTTTTTCCCGAAACTTAGGTCTCAAAATCAGTTCAATGTACCTCCACAAACTGCCTTCCGTGCTGAATATTCGTTAAGTACTAGTATTATTTTATGTTCTTTAAAAACATATTCAGATCTTTGTGCTTGTTCTTTTTTCGTCTCTCAATCTCATGTAATTTTCATGGCTAATGATAGTGATTTTAACATTTTACTCTCTCCTTTTTCCGCGAAAATTAGGTCTCAAACTAATTTTGGAGTACCAAACCAAGGCAGTGCACAGATGCAAATAGATCAATCAGTACGAAGCGCAAGGAACAACAATTATGGGGCTGTCAACAATTATCACCTTCCATTATCAAATTTGCCCACAGAGTTCCGTTTGGATCAGATGGCTCGACCACCACCTCCTAATTTTTCAGTAAGGATCCTGTTGTGGACTTTTTCACATAACAATAGGTCTATGTGTGTGTAAAAAATTATGTATATATCATACAGAAAATGTTCTATGTTTGGCCTCATTGTTGTTCAATACAGGCACCATTTGTGATAGGGACTGGAGGGTCACCCCTACCCAACACACATTGGCCAAATTGGGCACCCCAGAGCCAGATCACAATGCATGAGCCTTCATCATCTCAACTGGGGTATGAGCATTTTGTTATTCAGGGTTATAGTCTGGTCAATATCAATGATATGAGATATATAATTATTTTAATCAATGGAGTGGATTAGATACGTAATTAAACTTCATTACATTATTTGCACAAATTTATTGGACCTACATCCTGATTATTTTTTCACTGTGTTTATGTTAACATGTTTTTTTACCGTTGCATGAGACGATGGTCACTATTATTGCCAGACATTCAAAGTTTAAAAAATTTTGAACCATTTTTTAGCTCAAGAGATGAAGAAAACCCAATTGAAATACATAACAGTTGTTATAATTAGTTTCACAATTAATTTAGACTGTATTTTGAAATAATTAGTTTCACATTTAATTAGACTGTAGTTCGAAACATCATTTTCTCACATCTTTTTTATTTTAACTTGTATTTACAGGCCACAACAAATGCAACTTCAAGGATTTATGAATAAGGCAAGAGGACCAAGTAACTTTTATCCAACTAATGTCACTTCTTCTCATAATCAATTCCCTAACATGCCAATCCAGCAGGTTTGAAAACTAGGGTTTTTTTTTTTTTGTAATTGATTACTTTCTTCTGTGATCTAACTTCTCATTCAAACCGGCACATTTCGCCCAGTAAGGGCCTGTTTGGACGCAGTGTTTTAATGTAAAATTCAAGTCTTAGTGAAGCAACAGAAATTGATTTAGCTGATGAACATATATTATTTTTTCTTTTTTGGTTCTTGTTAGAACATATATATGTTCTTGTTAATATGGATGATTTTTTTTTTTTTTTTTTTTTTTTTTCTTTCTTTTTTTGCATGCAGAGGAAAATGTTTTCAATGGATGTCACTGCACCAATGCCCAATCAAGTGAATTGGTCCACTCAGGGTCAGGGCAATCAAGGCCAGGCTTCTAATCCAAGGTTTCGCTATATTCATGATGCAACTTAAATGTTTTTGTTATCACCATTGTCTTGAAAATTCTCATGAAAATCATCTAATAGTTTCAGGTTCCCAGGAAACTCACTATACGATCCGATTTATGAATCCATGGGTCTCCCTATCGACCCTCATTTGCGCCTGTTCATCGCGACCCGTGACAAGTGGTACATTTGTTCTTTGCTCATAATTTACCTCTTGGGAAAGAGTAATGATAGGGATTTCGACAGTCAAAGTAATCTGACTAATTTTATGCAAATATAGGTTGATGTCATCCTGATGTTGGAAATATTAATAATATCATGATGACATCAACTCCTACTTACTTAAATCAGTCGGAACAGTCGGAATTGTCCGACTTTCAAACTTTAATTCATTATCTTTTGGAAAATCGCTATTAGTCACATAAGGTTATAATAGCGCAGCAATACACAAAAAGCTTACTAGGTTGTCATTTTTTCTCATGGTGGCAGGTAACATTAGGCTGTAAGAAATTTGGCCGCTCAAAGGACTTACTGGGCAATGGAATTGTTGTTTGTTGTGTTAATTTGTGAGAGATATAAGCCCTCCAGATGAACTTTGTGTGTTATGGAGTAAACTATATAGTCCTCTTAAACTAAAAACTATATTGTTGTCATTTTGAAATTTATTCAATCAACTGTAGTAGAACTTTGAACACCCGACCTTCCATTTGACAAGGTGAATTTGTACCAGCTGAGTTATTGCCTATTTGATAATGCAGACAAAGATTGACAGCATAATTTATTTAAGGGTGGCTAATATTTGTCATTAGAGTTATGTTTTAAAATTTTCAACCATGCATTGCGATTAAGTTGTATTTTATGTGACTGTTGGTTTACGTAGATTGGATTCATTTCTTTCCAAATTTTGATTTTGATGCAATATTCGCCAAACATTTAGTTCTTAAAGCAAGTTAAGAATTGTCTTTAATTGCCAATAAGTCTTATCAGGTTGACTTTTGAAAATGTTTGCCCTGTATGCATATTATGTATAATTTTGGTCACATCAAGTTGATTTTGGTTACACTGATCGATTTGCAATTTTTTCTTTTTTCTTTTTTTTTTTTTTTTTTTTTTTGGTTTTTTTAACCATTGTGACTTCTAAATGGAGATAAAAAATAGATTGTCTACTGACGGACTAGAGAATTGTAATGAGAGGGGACGAGTGGAATACTTTTAATGGAAAATGATTCTTATACTGAATAGTTACAGTGAATTGCTAAACCTACTCTCTCAATTGATTAATTTTGTAGCAAATAAAGAAGTAGAATTCTCCACTTAGTTGTATTTGGAATAAATAACCAATTAAAAATTATTAGGTTAGACAATTCACTGCTGCAAGTGTTCGATATGAGTAACTTTTGAAAAAAAAAAAAAAAAAAAAAATATTCGGTGTGAGTATCACTACTCATTTTTTAAATCTTAACATAAATTAGACGTAATTTTGTCAAAAAAATAAAAATAAAAAAAATAAGTGGGATGCCACCACGGGTCATTTAATAGGCCTGAACCTACTGTTTGAATTTTTTTTTTTTTTTTTGTGGGGTAAATCAATTCATTAACCTGAAGAAAGACTACACAAAAAGGGGCCCAAGCCCAAAGTAGCCCGAGAGCATAACAAAAAAGACCCACCCATTAAGACACTAAAGAACCATTGCCTACAAAAATTCAGAGATAAAAGTTGTAGGAGAAACAGTTGAAATCAATTAGTGACAAGAGTATCAGGAACAGAGTTTGGAAGGGTCCAAGCAGCTGCAATGCTTCCAGAGCTCTTGCAAGTCGAGAAGATATTGGGTGCGCCTTGCAACCGTGTTATTGGTATACCCACTTAATGATAATACATTATTTCAAAAAAAAAAAAAAAAAAAAATGGTCTACTTATTTATAAAATTACTAATAACGACAAAATAATATATTATATTTGATTGGGTGATATTAATGACATGATGTGCACGACGCACTCAATATCTATTTCTGATAACGACGAAATAATATGTTATATTTAATTGGGTGATATTAATGACATGACATGCACGACGCACCCGATATCTATTTCTTGCAATTATGCATCTTGCAAGAGAGAAGGCGGTTACGGACATGAGTCTTTGCATTGTGCCTGGAGAAGCTTGCTTGCCGACACAGAAACTAAGGTCACCCGTATGCAAGAAGAATTGCCATATCTGTGAGGTGAACGCACTATTGAACAACAGTTGATGATGGATTTCAGATTAAAAAAAAAAAAAAAATTAATACATTGTGATTTTAATACGATGAAAATTATTTACCCTGTCAAGAAAGAAAATGACAGAAAGCTCGATTGTGTCGCGTTTTAGACAGCCATGGTGAAGGCTGTGAGCTGGTAGTGTATCATCTTCTTTCAAAATGAAAAGTGAGAGTTCGAGTCTCTTTCCAAAGAATGAGACAATTAGATTAGGACACTCCATTCGTGCTCCAAAAAAATTAAGAAACAACATAAAACCAAGTACACAATCAGCAAACAATTGCCTTAACCGATTTGGATTTTATTTTATAGAAACAGCAGTCATTAACAGAACAGCTATTTACAAGAAATACCATACACTCACTACAACACTAATACAGCTACTCAAACTTTTCTACTGGGCAAAGGTAAACTTCATTAACTGACCAAAAAAGCTGCAAACAAGGAGAAATGCAGATGGATTATGCACAGATGTGTGTTTAAAGAAGATCTTGCTTCAGACTCTTCAATTATTCTCTTTCGGCCTAATCTCGATTCCTTCTACGATTAGGCCACCCTTCCACATGCCACTCTTCAGCTCCTGTAAGCACACTTCCAGTTTCCCATCTTCTCCACTCCTGTTAAAAAACTCACCAAGTTCAATCTCGAACCACCCGTCTTCTCTTTCCTTAGGATACTGGTCACTGTTTTCTCCAAGGGGATCCAAATAGACAGTTCTTGTTTCACCTCCACGCCCACCAACTCCTACCCAACCCTCTACCGGCCGGTGTTCAAATCCGTACATTTCTGGTGTCAACTTGAACACTAGATGAGCTGCATAGGTTGTGTCCGGAGACAGCATGCGAGTATCTATCTTGCCACGGATTTCAAGCCAACACACGTTCACAAGCTCAGCCACTTCTGTAAACCTGTTTTTTGTTGATGGATACCATGTAAGCGTTTGTGTAGATGGAAATGAAAAGAAAATAAAAATAAGAAAAAGAAAATATTGTACCTGGACTCTTGTAGAAAATCCCATTTCCAAAACCTTGGCGTATCACCCCATATAATGCTGAGGTCTCTTGCAGCTAACATGTAACATTTCTTTCCACTCCATTTATCCAACCAAAAGCTCTGTTTATTACACACACCAATGAATAGATTAACGTGTATTAATATAGTAGTTTATGATATCTAAAGCAAACAAAAAGGAATACACAGAAGAATCAAAACTTTAAATCAGAACCAATCATTCCAAACCCTGCATAATATGATCCAAGTTGAAGATGCAACATTCAATAATTGCAACATAGTTACTAGGGCTATTTCAATTATTAATTATAATTTTCTCTTCTTAATTCTTTATCTAATTTTCATAGTTACCTTCTCCAAAGTTTAAATAGAGCATATAATCAAATCTAATACCCAGTAATCCGGAATCGATGTTCAGAATATAAAGGCTGATGTACAATTTAACATAATTAACCTAAATTTTACATTTTGTTATTGAATCCCCAATTCACGCAATAAACCAAATTTTCATTATAACAAGTTGTGCTTAAAAATGAATCTAATTCTCCTAAAGAACTTAAACAATGTTTATTAAACATTGAACTTGAATTCAACATTTATCTAATTTTTATAGTTACCTTCTCCAAAGTTTAAATAGATAACAGTAATCCGGTTTTCATACTGTTATGCGATCAATAGAATATAAAACCCCTTGACGTACAATTCAACATAATTAACCTAAATTTTACAAATTGTTATTGAATCCCCAATTCACACAATAAACCAAATAACAAGTTGTGCTTAAAAATGAATCTAATTCTCATAAAGAACTTAAACAATGTTTACTAAACATTGAACTTGAATTCCTAATAAGATAGCAATATTTTTATTACAATTAAATTAATATTGACTATAATTTTATATCAAAAATAAAAATAAAAAAAAAATGATTTTTTTTTTTTTTTTTTTTACCTTTTTCCCTCCTGAGATCAGGAGAGGACATAGTTTAAAATAGAGCTGTTTCTTGGACGATAAAATCAGCTGAGCTTGTGAAACCACGCCGTGATAGTGCTTCTGCAACAACGTCTCCCAAACAGCGTCGGAATCGGCGACGGATCTCACGGTGGAGGCCACCAGGGTGAGTCTGCCCACATCTGGAGGACTAGTCAGCGACAACACTTTCGCAATCAAATCCTCAGGCAACAAAAAGAAATTCGCCATCTTGTTTCTCTCTCTCCTCTCTCTAACTCTCTTCTATGCTTGTATATAGATAATTTATAGATGGATAGAGATATATATACAAAGTGACGGGCAATAAGAGGCTGGAGAAAGCTTCGCCATTAAGCATTCTCTTTATACATTCGGACAGTGGAAGCATACAAAATTTAGGACAAATTTGATCTTAAAATTATCCCACGTTATTACCGTTTTACCCCTGAACTACAAATCACCTCTTGAACTAAATAATATAGGTAGTATTACAATTAAAAACATCACAAAATATTATTTTAAACTTTCTTATTAAAATTATTATTTCTTATTTAATTTTTTTTTATTATCTAAATATTAATTATACTATTTACCTTAATTTTATTATTCATATCAATTATTTTCATAATTTATTTTAAAAAATTACTTAAATTGGTTTAAAATTTTCTACGTAATATTTTTATTTAAACAATTAATTTCAAGATTTAAAGATAAATTTATACAAATTTAATAGAGAATATGTCAATAAATTAGTTTAAATTATTTTCATAATTTATTTTAATAAGAAAAATCAGTTATGTGTAATTCAATTAGTATTATGATCGTTTAATAAAAAATAACTCAGACATGGGAGCATTTTGCAATGAAAATGTTATAGTTCGGTGGATATTATGTACAAAATATATTTCAAGAGTTAATTGCAAATTCGGACATAGTTTAGAGAGTTTTTTAAAAAAAAAAAAAAAATTTCCCTATGTGTTTATATATCTTTCTCTCACTTTAACTTTTGAACAATCTCTGTATATATTTCTTTTTTATCTCTTACAGCCTGTAATATTTTTGATTTTTGTCATTTTCTATTTTTTGGATTTTTCTAATTTTTCGAGGGTATTTTCGTTTTTTCTTGTTTTGCATGCCGGACACCGTGGGGTGTGCCGAGTGTGTCAGAGAGTTGTTTGGAGTATTTTCTTGGATTCATGACTCTTAAAAATGCAACGGTAGTCATTTCGGCATTTATTCTATTTTTAAGCAGGAAGGTCCCGGGTGGAACTCGATACCGGAATTGATGTACATGGGGGTTGCATCTAGGGTTCATTGTATTTCATACATATTTATTTTATGCATATTTTGTGGTAATATGCTAATTTTGTATGGTTAAAAATCAATGTACATCTATATATATAAATGAGAAAAGTGAGATATTTTATTTTTGGTGGGACCCACCAACTTTTTTCTCTTTTAAAGGCCAAGAGGCCACCAAATGGCCTCATTTTTTCTCTCTCTTCTGTCATCATACTCTCTCTCCCTCTACAAGAAACTCTCTCTCTAAAATCTAAGAGTTCAAAGCTTGATTTCTCTTCCACCATTGAGATTTTGATGTAACCGCTTTGGACAAAGTTGTAGAGCTCATTAAGACCATCGTTTTGATCGGAGCCAATCTCTATTTGGCAACCTTTGGGGGATTTCGAATTTTAGGGTTTGGGATGGAATTTGGGGCTTTTCTTCAAATTGAGGTAGGGGTCTTCCTAATGCCCAAGTTTTGGTTCTATTTGAGTAAATTTATCTTTCCTATGGTGTGCTTTTAGAATTATTGAACTTTGGTATGAAATTAGGGTTTATTAATGCTTTTAAAATGATAAATTATGTTATTGTGTATGTGATTATATGTTTGGCAAGAATTAGTTGTGTGGTAGTTTGATAATGTGTATATAATTGTTGAATTGTTTCTATATGAAAGATTTATGAAGAACATGTTAAGGTTATTATTGATGATTATTACGAAATGCTTTGCTATGTTTATTGTGTAGTAATTGGTGTTTTGACATTATGGTTGTTGTAGTGCATTGCATAGCATGACAAAGAGAGAGGAAAATTTTAGAAAAGATTTTAAAGGAAAGGTTGTTGTTTGAAATAGGAAGTTTTTTTTTAAAATGAATCAGATTTCGCGAATCTAGGGCTAACTTGACTTAGAGCGAACGCGACCCGGTATTAGGCGTGAAAAAGTTGATATTAGACCTTTTAACGATTGCCAGACATTGCCAAAATTGGAATTGAGGATAGTCGTCAATCTCGCCTCAGTAAAGTCAATTAGTGGGTTTTCAAAAGTTGTGGGTTAGGCCGATTCAGATCGAGTTGGAAACGGGGTGCATTACATTTCATTATCATGCACGGCATTAGTAGGATTTGTGCTATATATTGAGAATATTATTGATTCATCGTAGTGTTTCATGTACGCCAATGTATGACCCCTTCATCCCGTATCCCTTATGTGTTATGTGACTCAAGGGGGTCCAAAACTAAAGTCTTAAGCGACTTTTATTGGGCTTTATGCTCACCCCTTACTTAACATTTTCAGGTTCGGAAAAAGAAGTGGCGGAGGAACATCCACCACAAGTTTAACGGACTAGATGTTATTTTGTCGTCTTTTGTATATGGGGTTCCATTCCTTCTTGTAAAATAATAATTTTAAGAAAATGTAATCGTTTTGTGTAAAGTACGAGTAACTGTGATTTTGACAGTATTTTTATGTATTCAAAACTATGTCTATGTTATGTTTTAAATGGGAAAATGATGTATAATTTGGGAAGTTGATTACTTCATATATCCATGAAATGCTATTTATGTTGCCGTGAGTTCGGAATTGAATTGTCTATTAGGTTTGGCTCACAAAGAGCCCAGATTTTTGGACTTTAGTCTACACATAACAGTATAGCAGGGCTCATCAGCTAGCTGACAAGTCATGTCAGCCGACTGAAAAGCATTTTCTTGCCATTCCAGTGAGTTTGGTAATTGAGAAGTCTTGTTTCAGCCAACTGAACCTCACCATTGGTCGACCAAAACTTCATCATCAGCCGGCCGACACCCCATTATCAACCAGCAGACAGTTCATTTTAGAGAAGTCCTGAGAGTACATAATTTTGGAAATCATTTCAGTCGGCCGACCCTGCAAATCAGTCGGCTGAACCTTTCTTCAGCCAACTGAATTTCACTTTCAGCCAGCCGATGAACCCTTTCTAGCAAAGTCCCTAGAGTTTGCAAATTTGAGATCGTTTCGGCTGACTGACCATCTTAGTCAACCGGCCGATCATGCATTTTCAGCCGGTTAACGAATGGCCATCAGCCGGCTAACTTTCCCATTAACCCAACTGACTTTCCCATTGACCCAGCTGACCTTTCCATTGACTTGTATCTTGACATTTCCACCTGAGCTGTAATTTGGAGTATACTTTGGACCTTTAAATGAGTTAAGTACTACTGGTAAGCATAGGAAAATGACCATTGTACCCTTGTTGACTTCGATTTCGAGTAGGGACCCAGTTAATGGTCTGGACTTACGGGTTTGGGTCGTTACACAGTCTCACTTGACACTTAAAATTTTGAATGGGAATTGATGATGCAAGATTATGTCACGACCCAAAATGACGTTGTAACTTGTAGAGAAGAGAAAGAGTTATCGAAAAGGCACCGATGCAGTACCGGCCCAAGAGTCTCCGACGGTCAAGTTAGTACAAGACCAGGAAGATGAATGGACTCTGTTAGAGATTTTTGTCGTACCTTTTGAATTGACTAACTACCTTTTTTATAGGGTAGGTTATAGTATTTAACAAGGGAATTAATTTCCTTATTCTAGTTTAATACGGATCTGAAGAACTCATCCTTCTCCACATCGCTTCATCAATTGTATCTTATCTGACTTCTTATTTTCCGTGTTTGTTAGAATTTGTGTATTCGTGTTGGACTATAGAGACCGTATCATCAGTTTCCCCACATTCTCATATTTGGATCTTAAACTAAGAGAATATAAGTCGGTTTGGTTCCCTGAAACACTAGTACAATAATCATAAAGAAATATAATCAATAATTTTTTTTAATATTATTTTATATATTTATATTATTGGGGCCTCCATACCAAATGCAGGGGACCTTTTCGTCAAAGGTAGCAAGGGCCCTCCTTGTCAAATGTAGGGGACCCCTTTGTCAAAATGTAGCAAGGGGCCTCCTTGTCAAAGGTAGCAAGGAGCCTCCTTGTCAAATACAGGGGATCCCTTTTGTCAAAATGTAGCAAGGGGCCTCTTTGTCAAAGGTAGCAAAGGGCTTCCTTGTCAAATGCAGCGGACCCTTTTGTCAAAAAGTAGCAAGGGGTTTCTTTGTCAAATACGGGGGATCCCTTTGTCAAAATGTAGCAATAGGCCTTATTGTCTAATGTAGGGGACCTCTTTGTCAAAAAGTAGCAAAGGGCCTCCTTGTTAAAGGTAGTAAGGGGACTCTTTGTCAAACGTAGGGGACTCCTTTGTAAAAAAGTAGCAAGGGATCTTCTTGTCAAATGCAAGAGACCCCTTTGTCAAAATGTAGTAAGGGGCCTCCTTGTCCAATAATGTAGGCCTTATATTGTGGCTACTTATTTATAGCCAAACAATGCAGGGGACCCCTGTTAAACAACTTAAGGGACCCCTTTATCAAACAATGTAGGCCTTGTATTATGGCCACTTGTTTGTAGTTGTCAAATAATGCAGGGGACCCCCTGTCAAACAATGCAGGGAACCCTCATTTGTCAAATAATATAGGCCTTGTATTGTGGCCACTTGTTTGTAGTTGCCAAATAATGCAAGGGACCCCCTGTCAAACAATGCAGGGGACCCTCCTTTGGCTAACGATAAGTGGGTAACTAGAGGTGTGGGCCCCGCACTCTCAATTTCAAATTACATGAGCCCATTTTTTAACGGCTATATTTATAACCATTATAATAGACTAAACTCTTTTTTACCTATTTAAGTCGCAGAGAGTGCCTGCCCATTTCAGTCATTTTCTTCTGCCTATTTATCCGCCTCTTTCCTTTCCTCTTATTTTTTTCTTTTTTACCATTTACACTCATTTCCTGTTCCCCATGGTTTCTTCAACTCAACCTTACGGGGAGGTCGTTGAGCGCAATACTTCCACCGGCAAGGTGTGTCCCATCAAACCACAACATGCAACTTCGTGCTTAGGCGCCAGCCACCTTGGCCAACTAAAGTTAAAATTTTCTTTCCCGGAGTCTATGGAAGTCCGATGCGCTTCTCCACACGAACGGGTATGTGACACTCCTCTTGAAGGCTATACATGTTTCTTTGAGATGGCTTTCGATGCTGGCTTACGGTTCCCCTTGC